AAAGTAAACTCAAGTGGAGAAGGCGTTGTCCTGGAAGTGAATCCCCCTAATATGCATTTTACAGACAAGTTGAATTTAACATAGACGAGTGTTAATATCTTAGACCGTGAAAATTCCCAATGTAGTGTTAACCCGTTCGCACATGTATTAACACCCTTTTGACTTAAGAATCAAGTGAAACCGTGGCTTACAAAAATCTTAAACCAAAGCAATAACCAGATTTATGAACTTTCGTATTAGGTTTTTAAGCTAATCCAGAGGAACTACGTGACCCCATTGTCGGTGGCTCCAATCAATTCCTTCTTTTCACGAGGGATCTAACATGCAAAATTACCTCGCAGTCTCATTTACATGTATCAGATAAAATATACAATAGACGCGTACTATTGATACTTGCACATGATAAGTCGAGAAAAGATCGTAAGAACGAGAACAACACGTCTATATCAAAGATACCACTCAATCAAAGTAAAACATATTAGGGTTCATCAAATCCGGAACAACTAGAAGATTAGCCGGACATGATGAGATTTAGAAAGATGAAGGTTGAGAACATAACCATGATGATGACAACGACAAAGACGGAGGGGTCGAGAATACGGTATGTATATTGAGTTAATAGACTACACCTAGCAAACATCTGACGGGGGAATAATCGTTGGGCGAAGACGGTGGAAACCGACCAATCTACCACCACAAATGATTATCAAAACCCCACAGAACAGAAGCTTACTTCGGTAATCTCAATAACGCAATATACCACGGTATTCCCAAATACGAACATGAGAACCACGATGGATGAAATAAGAGATATGACTAACGAAATGAAAAGAAGTAACAAGAGTTTGGAATGAAAAGTGGACAGAGTTTTGGCTAACTTCAAATACAAGAAAGGAAGAGCAAAGTGAAGAAAAATGGTAGCCTCTCTAGTGTGTGTCCTCTCCCTCTATTTATAGTACAAAATGAGCTACTTGCTTGAGCTACTTGCTTGTAATAAATGGACCAGCTGCTTGCTTGTCCCTCGCTTTGATAATGGCCAGCTGCTTGCTTTCAATGGCCAGCTGCTTGCTTTCATTCATGGACGAGGCAGCTGCTTGCTTCCAAAATAATGGACGAGTCAGCTTTCAGGCATGGACGAGCTTAATGGACGTGCTTGCTTCATTATTTGGACGTGCTTGCTTGTCCATTTAATTCTCCAGCTTGCTTCATTATTTGGACGAGCTTGGACGAGCTTAATGGACGTGCTTGCTTCATTATTTGGACGAGCTTGGACGAGCTTAATGGACGTGCTTGCTTCATTATTTGGACGAGCTTGCTTGTCCATTTAATTCTCCAGCTTGCTTCATTTTGCACCAGCTACTAGCTTCAGCTACGAAGGCAAGGGAGGAGGAGCTGCTTGCTTAGGACGATGCAGCTGCTTGCTTCCCGAATAATGGACCTGCTAGCTTCTATTTTTGGGACCAACTTGCTTCTTCATTTGACACCAACCATCCTCCTGCTTGCTTCTTTATTTGGACCAGCTTGCTTCAGCTACTAGCTTCACACGAGAATCCCAAAATGAACCAGCTTTTCCTTATGTTTAGCAATAGGCAGTTTGCGGTTTGACTCTACATTGTTAATTAGCTCTCTTTCCGTGATTCATCACCATAATACACGATGGGTCTCGTATATTGATAACAAAAGGGGACGCGGCCGGAGTGGTACGGCTCTTTGCCCTCGCCCGGGACGTCGCGGGCTCGAGTTCCACCGACGCCAGATTTCGAACCCTAACCATCTTTTTGTGGAAATGACACATTATTCCGTTCTTATTGGATAGAATACCCTGAAACATGACTCAAACACAAAACCAAACATAAAATCGGGAAATTGAATGAACTTAATACAATTTATGTTATTTTAGGATGCAAAAGTGTAGGCAAATATATGTATAATTTAGGTGTTATCAAGCCGGAATCAAGAGAGCATCTTTTCTTTCAGTGTTCTTATGCTCAAGCTATCCTAGAGGGCCTGAATTGTAAAAGGTTTTACAAGGCCTCATGGTCTGAAACTGTCTCTATTTCCAGAATGCAGGATAGGCTTTTGATGGCCTTGAAAATCACCCCTCCTGACCTTCTTTCCATGATCCAACTGTGTCAACTTATAAAGGAACACCCAACCTTCAAAACAAGCCTTCACACTCGCAATTTCACTTAGCCATTTGAGAGATTCAACCTTCCAAAGTAGGCTTCCCTGAACTGTTCTCACACTTGGGCAAATTCCAGCTTGTTTCAAATTAACTTGATCCGAACTTTGGACGATTGATTGTGGGTTTTAATAGCTTGGAATTGAGATCATATCATTCACGATTGGCGCATCGTCTCCTCTGGTAGCTCTCGACTCTTTCGTCCCCGTCGCTGGCGTCGTCTCATGCATCGCTGGTGGTGGCGACCTACGATTCATCAGAACCTCGACCAACACCTCCTTTATCGTTCCTGCGAGTACTTGTCGCATTCTCTGGACCAAACTCCTGCCCAGTTCCTCGATCGATGTCCTGATCTGGCCTCCCTTATCTTCAATGGCCCTGATCGATCCCGTCGACGCGACAACAACTCTTTCGGTAATAGTTGTCAGGTTCTCCAATGTCGTGACCATCACGGCATACTTGGTCACATTCACATCCTTGACTGTCATGAAATCCTTGGCATACCTCTACGGTTTGTCTGTCGGGTTCGTCATCTTCAGAAATCGACACACCAACCAGGCTCTGATACCAATGAGAGAACACGGTTCTAGGTGTGCGATTTAGGGTTCACAGATTGAGGGAATTATGTGCTGAATTGGGAGATCAGGAGAGAATTAGGAATTTGATGAGAAAGAACATAGAGTTGAGTTGAGGAAGACATAGAAGTTGGGTCCCGAGGGAAGGGAGGCCAACGACAGTAGGGTTGAGAGAGGGAGGAATTCAGCTAGGTGAGAGAGAAGTAATTGTAGGAAATAATTCTTTTGTTATTGCTTAACCTCTAATTCTCCACTAACACACAATATATAATCCGACTAATTCCCTACACCTACCCGGATAATTAACCTGACCCAATAAAGCCCACGAGTTTCCAAAATATCCAACATGACATCAAAACATCTCGAATAATAAATAACGAAAAATGAGTCCCAAAATACTTAGTTTCTGACAATGGACCAAACTTAACTCAGATGAAGCGACGCAAATCGATTAGCTACAGCTGGAGGGGCTCTCGGAGATAGTAATGGTGATTGGAAAGGTGGATTTTGCTACATAATTGGCACGGGTACAACTATTGATAAGAGTGTGAGTCCTCGAGCTCGTTTGTTCAGAAGTACGCAGCGACAACGGTCGTGATAACGCGAAATTGATAACGAATATGAGATGGAAAGGACATATACTTGCCACAATCAAGTGTGATCGTTTGATTGATAAGAGTCGTGCCAAACTCTTATGCATTCTTCAACAGAACAACTCAAACAAAGATCTTGCTCTAGTTGTGGAATCCACCAATAACTAAACCAATAAACCATAAGCATGCGGCTCCATGGGGAAAAACACACCTCGGTGTACAATTCTTATTTCAACAAAGTCTAACCCTAAAATCTGTGCTTACAACCCTTTATATAGCCTAGGGCAAATAAAATAATAAAAAATCCATACAGAAAAAAAAAACCTAAAACGAAAAGTGTTTGTGCAATCTAGTTCAGGACACGAACAATTATATTTGTTGGCGTGGGGTTGATTCACGATCCGTTCGTCTTATCTCGTCGGGAAGGAGGGAACCTGTGAAAAGACCGGGGATGCCCCCCGTATTAAGCTCTGACGATCAAGTTAGTTTATGTATAGTGTGAACTGAGAGAAGAAGGTAGAGAGAGAAACTTTAGAGAGAGAACCAATGTGTCCAAATGAGAGAGCCCTCTTCTTTGAAGGGCTTGGAAGCCCTTATATAGACGTAGTGGGCACCGGTTGCGTAGTAGTGTTGCAGGTTGTGCGACAGGTAGTGCGGTAGGTTGCGCGATAGGTAGTGTGGTAGGTGTGCGGCAGGTTGGGTATCACAATGCTGGTGCGCTACTTACTTAGTTTTTTAGCTTGGGCGTCACCGCTAGCGCGGATGCTAGTGCACCACAATGCAAGTGCACCACGATGCTGGTGGACTACTATTTAGTCTCTTTTTTGCTTGGGCGTCACCGCTAGCAAGGATGCTAGTACACCACAATGCTGGTGCGCTACTGCTTAGTCTCAATTTGTGTCAAGGTTGAGCTCACCATACTTGTGCACCAGCATGTAAGTGCGCTACTACTTAGTCTCTACTAGGTGGGTTTAGTAACACCCCCCAACAAAAAGGTAATTTTATCCCGTCAGACCAAATTCCACAGTCTCCCCCCTTGAAATCACGGTCATGAATTTTGGCCTCCTAACCGTGGGTTGTTCCTGCTTCAAATCCACTATCCAAACCTTAATTCCACAGTCGTGGATTTTGATGCCCTGGCCGTGGATTTTGTGTTGCTCGAGAATCACATAAACTATTCTAACGGAGCTTTAGGGCATGCACTAAGGACTAGGTTATGCTTGGGAAAAGGGAACCAAAATTCTGCTACTAGAGACAGATTCCAAACTGACAATTTAGTTGATTAAGAACCACAATGATTCTCTTCATCCCCATGCTACTGTATTAAACGCTATTCGCAGGATGATTGCTTCAAATTGAATAATTCAGATGATTCATACTTATCACTTATCGCGAGGGAAAAGAGTCGCGGACTAATTATTATGAACTATTAGACCTACCAGTTGATATGGAAAGGATCCTTGGAGAAGATTTGATCGGAGTTAGCTTCCAACGCAGGGTCCTGTTAGCTTCCATCTGAGGTTTGGATTTTGCTATGTTTTCTGTGGTTTTGTTCTGTTGGGAATTTCCCACTGATTGTTGGGGAAGGCACGTGGTCGTGTTAAGTGTCTTTCCAGTGCTATATTAGTTTTCCTTTTGGCGCAAGGCCTCCACTCAATAAAAATATTATAAAAAAGAACTCCGTGTTCCCTACGAAAGGTTCCAAAACTACAACTACTCCTGGATCTACTTGAGGAATAAAGAGAGTACAATACATAGTTCTCCGTCTAATTCAAAGAAAGCAGCCAGCCCATATAGGGGGTTCGGACTCTTTCTCCCTTTCAATGAGACATCAATCAACTCACCTCCTTGTCCCCAAGCTGAAAAACTTCTCTGTCTTCCTCGTCCAAAGTGGACATCAGCTCTTTCTTTACCCTTAGGGCGTCCTCCATAAAGTAATTTTTCGGCGGTAACAAATCCTCATAATCATCTACAAAAAGAGATATATCTTCCATTAGGAAACAAATTAACAAATCTAAATCACCAACAACCAACCCCTCCTCCAAGTCCCAACTAATGAACTACATCAACAAGCTCATCCACGCACAATGCAAACATTAGAGCAATCTTGCGGCAATATGATCAGAAGAATGAGACATGATTAATAAGGACTCCAAAATAAGTTCTTTGCTTTAGAAAACAACACATCTACCCAATGGCCAAAGACGTATGCAGTATGCACATATGCCCTCACTGATGGATAATGCAGAGCATGTTGTACCAAACTGATTCAACAATAAACTTGTGCATAAGGGTATTAATGATGTATGCGACTTCACTGTATTGACCAACCATTGACAGGAAACAAACATCGGGAAAAGAAGAGGAATTCCCCCCTCAAATTACGTACAAGCTCATTCATAACGGCAAAACTCTGCCACTCGAAAGGCAGAGGCCTGCATTAACAAAAACTACATATACTTAACATGAAGCCTTGAGATTTTAACACCATGCATCATTCACATAATTATCAACTTGAGAGCATCCACTGTATTATAGACTGCATATCAGTTAACTTGATAACCTAACCATTGAAGTATGCACCTCTTGGGCTACGTAAAACAAATTGTTGGTTGGTTACCTTTGCCAATTATTTTCCTCCTGAAGACAGCAACTTTATGACCTCCCATTGAAAAGGGGTAATAGGCGACCGCGGTCTGATAAACCTGGACTTCACCAGGGTGTTCGGAGCCTGTAAAAGTCACATAGAACCACCAGCAAGCATATTGCTCCATAGTCGTGTTCAGAATTTCTCCTAAAATCAAGCTCTTACCCTGCAAGGAACATATGAGCGCATGAGGAACAGCAAGCATGATCTAGTTTTTCTGGTCAGTGAATTCAGTGGTAGAACTAATTAACTATATCTTTTATCAATACAATAACAATAATAATTACCTCCACACTCTCATATTTCTTGATGACGTAATTAACAGAAGCCTGAATCAGCTCGTCTAGATTCCGAAGATGCCAGTAATGATCTCGGTGGAAAACGCCACCGCAGCAAGAGTAGTTTGGTTGGCAATCAGCATAAAAATTCTGTGCTTAAGAACAATCAAAAAAGATCAAATTCGACTACAAACCACCTATATACATTAATCAAACACTAGTTTTTCTTTGGGTTTTTTTTTTTCTTAATTACCACGAGGCACCTAATTCCATCGTAACAAAGACCGCAGAGGGTCCAGACCCCCATCGTATATTATATATGGGGCTTGCAAGTTAGAACTTGAATAATAATTGTTAAGTTTAGTAAAAATATATAATTAGGTTGGAACTACTTACTCCGGTGACAAACTTCTTCCTCCTGTGATGGATGACGCGCAGCTTGAGTTCTTGGTCGCCATTAAAATCGTCGTTAACATCTACATATTTGCTATCGTCATCCTTGGGTTTGAATTTGCGCTTTTGAAGCTTTCGGCAGCATTTACAGAATATATCCCCGTACTCGTTCGCTGGAAAATCATCTTCAGTCCCCGGCGGATCAAAACACACCTCTGGTTGAAGGCCCACCTCACCCGGAAACAATTCGTCCTCCGACGATGATACCTCATCCTCATCCTCATCCTCCAAAGATTCAAAGGACACCGACGATTCCTCGGATTCCTCCTCCAATACAAGGTCAGATTTCTGATCAATGGCCTCCTCCTCCAATTCATCCGATTTGGGACACATAGGGACGGCTATATCTGCATCGAGGGCCTTCTCCTCCAGTTTGGGAGACATCTCTGGATCAGAGACGGATGGGAGGAACAGTTTGCCCTTTATTTTATTTTTTATTTTATATATGTCATTTTTTTATACGCAAATAAATAGGGGATTCTAATCGCCGCGGCGCTGCGGCCCAATTATGAGTCCAATGCCGCTTGTTTCATTTTTGTAGCCTTTGGACTTCGGTGTTAGAGCATCTCCATTGGAATTGCAATTAGAATTGCATTATGACATGACATTCATTTGCAATTGCATTATGCAATTGCATTGATGTAGATGACAATTGCATCTTTGCAAGCTTGCATATAATGCAATTATGGAATGCAAGCCACATCATCTTTTTTATTATTAAATTATTCATTAATTTGATTATTTGAGTGTTTATATTTTAATAAATTAAATCAAAAAAATTAGTTGCAATTGCAAGTTAATTGCATTGATGTGGTGCAATGCAAGTAAGATGAGTTGGATTGCAAAAAAATGAAGTAACAATAAAAAAAACAAATGCAATTGCAAATGCCATTGCACCAATGGAGATGCTCTTAGTAGTGGACCATAAAGATTTAGATCTTTTCCCCTAAATAACGACAAGAAAAAAAATTACAACCAAACCAAATCTCTCTCTCTCCAGTCGCCGGAAAAGTTTCCTCCGGTCAGTAGAAAAAATCTCTCTCTCTCTCCTCTCTCTCTCTCTCTCTCTCTCTCTGTGTAGCCGCACAAATCAATGGAATGAGGAATGGGGGATGAAAATCCCACCCCTCTCTGGGTAGCGACGCAATGGGGTCCCAGGAATTAATAAAAGCTGACGGCAGGGACCGGCGGGAGGAAAACGGCGGCGGGGACCGACGCCCGTACGGGCAGTTTCGTCGGTGGGGACTCGCGGGAAGGGAGCCAGGTAGCCGCTTATTTTTATTTATTTTTTTAATTAATAATATAATTACTATAATGACTTTCATTAAATTGGATTAATTGGAGCCATTGGATTTTAATGAGGTGCAATGATTGAGATCGACTTAGCCAAGTGACTAAGGGGACTCCCTTAGTCACCAGATCTTATCCCCTGAGTTGAGTTGCATATAGGGATGCTTCATGGTGAATTTATGGTCGCTGTGTTGCTGGCGAGAGAAGGAAGACAGATGGATTCTAAACACATGATTATATATTTACCTCGTCCGTCTTCTTTCTCTTCTCCGGTGATCTTACGAAAATGCAAAATTTACCAAATGAGAGGAGTATAAAGAAGGGGGGAAAACAATCGTCCAAGGGTTGGGATTAGGTAATAGGACCCCTTGAAATCGATCCACGGATTCAGAAATTGATTTCGAAGCTTGTAAGAGGCTCGTCGGAGGTTCTTTGATTCGGGCCTAATTGACACATTTTATCCCCATTTCCCTTGGGCGTTTGTGGCATTTGTGCTCCTAAAAGGGTGGTTTTACGCTAGGTTTATTTTGTTTGAGTGTGTTTTAGGATCTAACAGGTGAAACTAGCCCCGAAGTAGAAAGTTGCAAAAAAAGGAGCAAAGACCGGGCAAAGAGAGTGATTTGGGCCATGTTCACGGTTTCACATTGGAGTTCATGGTCTCCTAAGGACGTGAAATGGAACCAAAAACCATGAACCGCGAAGCGTCCAGGGAGGTTTCAGAGGTTACTGACGCTGAGTGAGTTCACGGTCACCAAGACTGTGAACTGGAACTGTTGGTCGTGAACTCTAGTGAATGAAGCGGTGGGTTTCGACACAGCACGTCGAGTTCAGGGACGCGTTGAGGAGTTTCACGGCCATGAACTGAGGCCGTAAACTGAGACCGATCCGAATATAAAATGTGAGTTGAAAGGAAGAGAGAGGGAGAGCCCAAGTGTGATAAAGCTTCTTCTTCTTCTTCAGATTTTAGAGAGAGAAAGGGCGAACCAAAGAAGAAGCGAGGCTAGGGTTTGCTCCAAGTGGTGAATTGGGAAGAATCTCCCCAAGAGAAGATCAAGACAAGATTAAAGGAGAGTGGAGGCATCACCTGATGGTTTCTACTTCTTTCTTTTGTGTTCTTCCCCTTTCTAGCATGGAGTAGTTTCCTCTTTCACTTGGGTGTTGTGAAACCCTAACTATTTGCCATGTAGTTGTGTGTGAATTGAATGATTGTTTATGGGTGTTGTTTAATTTAATGATTGAGGTATTTTTCATGATGATTGTATAGTTTGTGCTTGGCAATCCAATTGCCCATTCTAACCTAGGTTAGAGGGAAAACCCCCGTTCCAAAGAGGCTCAATTGAATTGGGATTTCTTGGGCTTTTCAAGCCACCTACCTAGGTTAATGTAGGGCAAACCTCTATCTTGAATTAAACGACTAGGTTAATCGTGAATAAGCCGTCCAACCATTGGTTTGAAGGAGAAGGTAAGTCAACCCTCAATTGCCTTAACCAAGAGGGCTACTCTAGTAGCCTATAATGTATCCCTTGGTTTGGCAATTGAGAGTGTGGTCTTCCACCATAGTTGCACTTCCTAGCGGTTCACGATTGACATGCCCATAATGATCCATTCGATTCCACGTGCTATGGTAGTAGTTAGGGGGAAGCAACACCCGAGTGATCCTTCTCATCTAGAGCTTTCAAACCATTTACCTTTGCTTTGTTTTAATTTAATCCTTATAGTTTTCAATCAAAAACCAATCTGCTAGATAATGTTTCAAACAATTGAAGTAGGGGTACGTGGACCGGCCTGGGTTGATATTTAAACATACTTTCCCTATATTGCACTCATCTAAGGTTTATACTTGGCCCTTAGGTGGGATTTCGTTGTGATATTCGGGACGAGTTAAGTTTTTGGCGTCGTTGTCGGGAAATTCGGTCCACTATTTTGAAAAGGCTGTTTTGGTGTTAATTTAGCTTTTTCAGTTTTGATCGTGTGAGTGTTTTGCTTGTGCTAGACGTGGTGTTGTTCTCTAAGTGTGCGCAGGGAGGTGCATGACCCGTAGCAATTCGGCTCCTTTTGTACCACTTGACGAGAACATCAACTGGACTCTCCGACTCCTAGTTCGGGGAGAGGGAGTTAGCGGAAACAATGAGGAGAAGTGAAGAAAGGGGACAACAATTTGGTCCCGGAGTTAGTGGAGTAGAAGTTGAAGGTGAACTTGATATTGGAGTTGAGATGGCGGAGAACCAACAAGAGTGGGAGCCGCCCAAGCTCACAACCAAAATGATGGGACGGCAGAGGAGGAAGCCCCAACGACAATGGGTTATTACATGGCCCCACGGCCGGCGAACATCCAATCACCTATCTTACACCCACCTGTGGCGGCCAACAACTTCAAAATCAAGCCGGCCCTCGTGACTATGATTCAAAATAATGCTTTTTCCACGGGCACACAATCGATTCGCCGAGGGAGCATTTGCAAAGGTTTCTTGAGTTCACGGGGAGTTTGAAGATAAATGGTGTGTCGGCAGAAGCTTTGCAATTAAGGCTTTTCCCCTACTCACTTTCGGGGAAGGCACTCTGATGGCTCAACAACCGAACGCCTCGCTCGATCACCTCATGGGATGACCTTCTCAACAAATTCATGACCCGCTATTGCCCTCCTTCGAAGATGGCCGAGTGGAGAAAAAAGATCACCCATTTCGAGCAAGACGAAGATGATACCTTGAGAGATGCTTGGGAAAGATTCTCCGGCTACTTCCTTCAATGCCGTCACCATGGATTCGAGGATCAATTTCGGATAGAAACTTTATATGGTGGTCTTATACATGAAGACAAGATTCTCATTGACTCTCTTTGCCAAGGGAGATTGATGAACATGACCCCACCTCAAGTGACCGAGTTGCTCAATGGCTCTTAAAGGATACAATTGGGGCTTGACGAGAAGTGGGAAGAAGAGCAATGAAAGATGAGTGCGAAGTGTGGGAGCAAGTGCTCCACTTGAACCGAAGCTTGACAAGTTAATTGAGGTGATCCGTGAGGACAAGAAGAAAGGAAAGAGAGCAGTGATATCTAGTGATTGGGGTGCAAGTGTGGGCCAAGAGGAAGCCGAATATCACATGGTGAGTGTGGAAACGACCCAATGCGAGTAGCTATACTCCATCGCCTCTGTGCATGCCGATCGGATGACTAGCCTCGAGGAGTTAGTGACGACCTTTGTTGCCTCCAGCTCGAAGAAGTTTGAAAGAATTGACAGGTTCATAGGAGAGGCGACAGAGAAATTCTCAACCATAGAGGCGCGGTTGCTGAGTCACCAAACACTCTTGACAACCCTGACCATAAGTGTGGGGATTATCTCACAAACAGCTCGTTCCCGGAAGCAAGAAGACGAAGTAGAAGTGGGGGCGGTTACTCTTCAAAGTGGAAGA